TTTTAATAAAAGAAAAAAGAAAAGAGAAATAAATCATGGGATCCAACAAATCTCTGAAATAATCCACTATATTAAAAAAAAATAATAATAATATAATCACTCAAGTTTTTTTCATAAACTTGAGAAATAAATAAAAATACTAATATATATTACTTTTCTAATTAAATCTATTTTATTATTATAATCTAAAATCTATAAAATCTGTATTTCTATAAAAATTATTACTATTATGGGACATAACTTTAAATATTATAATTCTTTATATTCAAAATACTCAATAATTATTTTTATAGAGAACTCTCAAATTGATCGTACCTAAAAATCTTACTTTCTTATTATAATAATTTGTAAAAAGAAAAAAAATCATCAATAAAACAAAAAGAATAATAATAATAATGACGATGATGACGTAGAAAAGCTGATAAGTAGAAAAAGAATCATTGCTCAAATCCAAAATATTAAAAATGGAAAATAAGCATGGAAGAAGAATTAAATAATTCCATGATGGGAATAGAAGTAAATAAGTGACAAGGACATCTCATTGTAGAAAAGCTGATCACGGGAACCTGTTTGTTAAATTGCTTGCGAGACAATTTCTTATATTTCTAACATTTAATTTGAATGTGAACAGATCATTTGTGGAATTTTCAAAATGGAGCGATAGAGATGAAACTTCCCTTGCATTGTGAAATTTAATGCAGAACTAGATTAACGACTTTTAAGAGTTAGAAATATGTAACACTCAAGAAAATTGTCCCCATGAAAAGTAAGCTATTTTTTTTTATTCAAAAACTAATCATATTTCAATCGTTTTCTGTGGACATGGACTACTCTAAATTCAAAATTAAGTTCCAAATTCTCTATATTTCCATAACCAAAAAAGCAAGTCGGAGTCTTGTGGTGGCCATGAGAAAGCATGAAAAGTGAAAATCGCACTTGAGAACTCCTTTGAGATGTCCAAAGTGTAGACCACTGAACCAATCCTTGTGCTTATGAATCTTTATCGCTATCGTTACGACACATCGGTCATAAGAATTGGTATTGGTCAATAATTTTTTAAAGTTTTGTTTGTAAGAATCATAAGATTTCGGAAAACTGCATGCCCTTCACAAACAGGTTCCTTTGGAAAATGAAAAGCATTTTCTTGACCACAAACAGTTCTGCTTTGGAGTCTTGCTTTTCCATGACACGAACCTCCTGATAAAACGCAAAAATAAAATGGTGACAAACTGACAACTTTCAGAACAGAGCAGGTGCAAAACCATAATGATTGTAGCTCTCCTTGCATTTTTATCACTAATAATCCACATGATATTTAACGTATGAGGCACAAAAGTTGATCCATATTAAATTTTCGCTATGATTTTAAATTAATTCTTTCAAGATATAATATATTCTCCATTAACTAAACATTTTAGAAACCACCAAAAAAATCTCATCCATTTTACATTTTTTAATTATTTATTTTATTTCCTTTTTTATTTTATCTTAGAAATTTATATTAAAAAAAATGAATTAAACTATACATAGTACCTTTATTAGAAAATGACGTTTTTTGATGATCGATATATTTTTAAAACATAACTAATTTTTTATCCGAAAATCTCTACATCGGTGCTTATTATTAAATTCCTAGTTCATTTACTATTAGATGACGATTTTAAACTTATTAATAACTCGCATTCCCGAATAACCACAAACGAGATGGGAATCTCTAAAAACTTAGATTTTTGGAGAGTCTCGTCCGACATTGCGTAGCGATAGATAATTTATCATAATTATTCCTTATTGGTAATAGGGATGGGCTCATTTGGTCTAAGAGGGAATCTAATGTTGAATCAAAGATTAAGCGTGTTCGACGTTAACGTGCCTTATAAATTATTGGACTTAGTCTCGGTTGATGCAAAAGTTGATTCGAGAATACTTCAACATATATATTAGAAGTTTTTTTATATACTAATTTATTGAATACTGCATTGCTAATTTTATCTTTGTTAATTGTTTTAAGATGTCTTCTTGAATAGTAATAAAGTATATAAAAACATTAAATTATAATATGCTACCTATATTTTGTATATGTATTTGTTACCATCTTGTGTTGTAAATCTCTCATGATCTCTTAGAACACCTCTTATTCCTATTCTTTCTAGTTTTTATCAAGGATGAGCCATCAACATTCAACTCCATTGATATTTGAGCATGTGTGTTACTCTTTTATTAGGAGTCTAATTTTTATAATATGTCTATCTTATGTATTTTATTTAAGCTAAACCATCCAAACCTCTTCTAAACTTTAAGTCATTTGAAAATCACTCTCTTAAAATTTAATTTTGGATTGGACCTTCCTCTTAACTGTTTTTCATTTGAATTTTGATCTTTCATTTGGGTTTTTGTCAATTTTAGGATGCAAATGCAACTTTTTAATAGTTAAAAATATGTCAAAACTTACAAATGTTTTACTTTTAACAGTAAAATGTGCCTCTTTTCTTCTAAATTTGTCAAAGTAGTACAAATAAATTGAAATTGGTACAAAAATAAGAGTAGAAGGACCAATATAAGATTTTGACCCAGCCCAATCCTCCCCAACAGAGGTGGCCCTTCTTTCTTGATGCGTCGAGCTAAATTTGATCCTAAAATGTTTGATTAGCTACTACGTACTATCCACAGTTCCACTTGGTTACGTGGGAAAACAAGATTTGCACCGCATCACCGTGGTGATAAAATAGAATGAGTGTCCTGATTAACAGAAGAAACTTTCTGATTTGGTGACGAAGTTTCTCCCTTAACAACTCGCCCAACAGAAAATGCAGGTTGTTTAGGAGTAGGAAGTGTTAAGTTATCACCTGCCAACATAAAAACAACAGATGACATTGTGGGTCTATCTGCTGGGTCTTCTTGCACACACAGTAACCCAATGTGGATGCATTTCTGCACCTCAGTTGCTACACTTGACTTCTCTAGTGACGAGTCCATCAACTCCAGTCCCTGACCTTCAGACCAAAGCTTCCATGCCTGAAATATAAACATGTCCTGAATCAATATTAGACTGTTCGTTGATTGCAGACTTTCATTTTTCGGGAGGAAATATAAGGATAGAAACATACAAAAGTGAGGAGGCTTTTCCCTTCTTCTGAAAGATGAAAACCGCCATTCCTTTTCCCGCTAATTATCTCCAACATGAGAACCCCGAAACTGAATACGTCTGATTTTACAGATGATAGTCCTTCCATAGCATATTCAGGGGACATATATCCACTGTTGAATCCAAATAAGAAAAGAAAAAAATAAATTTAGATGCATTTGATCAATGTTGTGGAGGTTTTGTGCATAGCTTGGAATATTCACCAAATGTGACTTTTTTCTTGGAAAACAATAAGAAGAAGAGTATATAATCCATTGGTACTAAAAGAACATCTGAGCCTGAACGAGGAGTATGAGAAGCATTAATAATGTATTTAATTTGAAGTTTAGACCAGTAAGGTTAGAAGAGGCCTGTGGAGAGAATGGACAGTAATACTTACTATGTTCCAACAATTCTGTTTGTGTTAGCCTCGCTTTGATTTCCACCAAACATCCTTGCCATTCCAAAATCCGATATCTTTGGATTCATCTCATAATCCAGCAAAATGTTGCTGGCTTTGAGGTCCCTGTGAATTATTCTGAGACGTGAATCTTCGTGCAGATACAAAATCCCTCGAGCTATTCCAGTGATAATGCTTAGGCGTCTTTGCCAATCAAGTTGCATACGCATGGTAGAATCTGAGAAACATCAATCCAAAGTTCAAATTGGTTACCTTTTCCACCCCCTTCAACAAGTATATAATTGCAAGAAATCGACAAGGTTTAACACAAGTAGACAGAATTAGCCCAGGACATGCATGATTCAAATCCTAATAAAAATAGCTAGTGAGTTAACCTCTAATTCTTGTGAGCTCTCCTCTCATGAAAAAGGAAAAAGGAATGGCATGATTTAGTGTGACTAGTCTCAAGTTGTGAAAAATTTGTTGTGGTGATCCATAGAAGCTCATAAATGGCCCATTATTAATAAATATAAAAATAAATTCCATAAATATATATAAATATATGATTTTTTTAAAGAATTTTTTTTATTTTTATATTCTTAATATAATATTAATATTATACTATATCATGTAAATTCAACTTTACCCTGAATTAAGGAAAAAAAGATAACGTTGAAGAAATTTTTAAAAAGAAGTTATGAAAACCTAAAAAATAGGTTAATCTAGTTTTTAAATTATTCTCTTATTTATTAACAACATAAAACCCCAAATAACATTAAATAAGCTTTTTAAATCAATTGTAACATGTATAGTACGTACATTCATTACTAGGACTCCAAAAATGCTTAAAAAGAAGTCAAAAAAAAAAAAAATGATAAAATCCCCAAAAAAAAAAAAACCCTCAAAATTTATCAAATTATTGAATTAAATTCCTTATTTTTTGGCATTATCTTATATTTCATTTTACTCTTTTATCCACAAAACTTTTTATTGAAGTTTAAGAGTCAAACCAAAGAGAAAGACATCGAGGCTTTTGTTGGGCATGTACTCATAGACAAGCAACTTCTCATTTCTCTCTATGCAGCATCCCAAGAGTTTGACAAGATTTCTGTGTTGTAATCTGGCAATTAAAGTGACTTCATTCATGAACTCCCTTAATCCTTGACCAGAAGTTCTTGAAAGCCTCTTAACTGCAATTTCTTTACCATCCTCCATTACACCCTGAAACCATACTTTTTTCAAATTAATATGCAATTAAGTATTTGATGAACCAAAAAATTAAATTTAAATGTTGACCTTATAGCCATGATTACCTTGTACACTGGACCAAACCCTCCTTGACCAAGTTTATTGTCATTATCAAATTGCTTTGTTGCATCTAGTACAACAGCTAGCCGGATCAAAGGAGAATCTTGGGATTTCACCTCCCCGTGAATAATTTCATTCGAGTAGTCGTCTTCGATTGGTCTTCCTTCCAGGTCAAGTAATTGAATCACTTGGCTGTTTTGTAATTTCCCTACAGAATAACATTAAGAACGACGAGTATAAGGACCATAGATAAGAGGAAGTAATTAAATTTTCTTATACCTCTTTTCAGATTCTTCCTTCTCCACATATCGTAAGTGCAATAACTCAACATTAGTACTCCAACAATAGCCGATAGAGTTGCGCCGATTACAATCCAAGTTCTTTTTCCTCCTGCAAAGCAACAATGTTTTTTTTCCACATCATTAGAGAGAATTGAATGTGTAATACTTTGTTTTGCTTGAAGCAATGATAATTAAAGTACTAATTCCAATTGCCAGAGCCAATTCAATTAGACAATTAATTGTTACACATCATTATTCAAGATGATAAAATCCATAATATTGATCGGTGATTTAAGAAATGGTAAAGAAGAAACCAAGAACCTTTTCCATCTGGTGCAGGACCTGTAGATGTAGGGGGAAGAACAACTGGCGTAGGAGGTGGTGCCACGACAGCAGTTTCATTGTAAAACGAATAATTTTCAAATCGAAAATTACAGCTTGGGAACAAGACTCTTCCGCCTTGCTTATTATTACAACAAACTGGTAAGTTGGCAATAGCTGCTTGAAGACACTGTTTACAATCGGAGGTTGATAGATCCGGTGTGCACTGCACAAGAACGTATAGATCTTCACGCCACGTATAAACCACTTTCTTGACTGCAAACTTCTTAGCACCTGATGGAGCACTTGCAGCTTCATTAGCTGCACCAGTTATAGTTCTCACCACCAGCTCATTATATTCTACATTAACTGTTATATTCTCTGGATTCCACATGAGAATAACAGGGTTTTGGCTCATGGTGGAGAAGATGTTACTGCTTGAGTAGCCCAGGAAGCACTCATCATACCCTATAATAGCCTCCTTCTCTATGGGACAATGTTTGACTATATCTTGAGTGGCAAAGGTGACACAATTTAGACAAACTTCGACACTGAGATCCCCCGGCAAAGAAAGAGGCCATAGACATCATAAGGGTCCTGTCCTGCAGAGTTGTTGTAAAATCCAATGTTATTGCGGTTTGCATTGGAGACCAGTGAAGAGAGAAGGAGATTTAAATTGGCTTCATATTTGCTGTTTCTAACGAAAGTGGTTGTGTTTGGGCAATAATCATAACGGTAAGTGGGCTCCTGTGCTTCCGTGATGCTAATGGTGATCAGGGCTGTAAAGCAGAGCAGCACTACAGAGAATTTCAGAGAGTACATTTTTGTGGTATCTGATAAGGTTTTCTGGCATCTAGGCCATGGATTTATCTCAACGTTTCCCTTTGATTACAGCTTAGTCCATGTGTTTTATCAAAAGAAATTAATTAAAAACTCTTATAGTATCAAAAATAATAAAATAGTTTTTTTTTCATTAGTCTTGATCATGTTCAATTTACTGGTGTTTTGTTTCAAAAAAAAATAAATTCTTTTCTCATCAATATATATTTTATTTCTCTACTTATTAAAATAAAAACTAAAAATAATTTTTTTAAAAAAAAACATGAAGTAAACAAGAAGAATTAAGTTATGAGATTAAATATATAGTTTATAAAAAATATGAAAACTAATAAATTAATTTTTCTGAAATACAAAAACTAATTGATGATTAAATCTTTTGCTTTAGATGGAGTCCATCGACAAAGTCAAGCGACTTCTGTTGTAACAGTAGGATTGTTTTGGAGAAGTTGATCAGAGAAGTCATTGTCAACATACACCAAGTCAAATCCTCCAGCTTCTATAGATGATCTGTTTGTTTAATTAATTTTATATTTTCTTAAACCACTTAAACAACGTTGGATCATTGACGCCAACAAAATCATGAAGCAATCCAACAAGTCAAATAACGTGTTTCTTTTTTTGTCAACGGTCCACGTCACAGGAACACCGTAGATTGTCAATCTCTCAAGAAAAAACTGGAGTAAATTATTTTTTATTTCTTACGTGGTTTTTAATTTTTTTATTCCAATATTTTTTTATGTCAGGAAGCGTATTTCATAATTTTATGCATAATCATTTCTATTGTAATCTTTCTCTAATTGTTACGTTTTTCTAGAATTTTTTTATCTTATATTTTAATTAGACAGGCGTTATTAGAAGATTAGTGCTCTAAGATTTAATTTAATTTTATTTATTCTATTATGTATTATTAAGGTTTACTAGTTTTTCTATTTAAAGAGTTGCAACAGCCTTTGGGCAATTAGAGAGAGGATTTGAACAATATAATTAAGTTTTATGAGTTTTTATATAGTTTTGTTGTGTTTTTATTTTTAGGGTTTTGATTGAGTATGAAAAAAGTTGATTTTTTTTTGGCTATATGCTTCATCATCAAAGTGGAATTAATTATGCTTCAATGACATGAAATATGCTAAATCTGACTAGCATGTGACTAACATGCAATGACATGAAATTGGTAAAACAATTGGCAAGTTAAAAAAAAACAAAAACATATTGGCCATATTTTTTTATGGAAATTGAAATATATTTTTTTTTCAAAAACCGAACGGAATTTCAATATTTCTATTCAGTTTTTAATTTTACAAATTTAATTTCAAAACCGATCCAAAACATATAATTCAGTTAGGCTCGATTTGATTTTTCAGTCAATTGGAATTATGCTCATCTCTAGATCTAGGTAATCCTTCTTTTGATTTCACTCAATCAAGATGGCCTACTTAAAATACCCACTGTTTCAATTCCCCTTAAAAGCCTTTCGCCCCCGGTCAAAATTTTTCAAACACAACCCATTACGCAGCCCAAATAAAACCTACGTAATATATATCCTTCGAACCTAACCCATATCTCAGCCCCACACAAGCCCATTGATGACAGATTCTCTAACCTATTGACGACAGAACATCATACGTAACCCACACATCAATCCCCTTCAAATACAGAATCCGCACACAACACCCCATCGAACGCTGTTTCCCAGCCCCAATGCTCGTGTGAAAAGGAATGGAAAGAGTGTTGCTCATGCTTTAGGGAAATTAGCTAATCTTTGTTTTCCAAAAGAGTTCGGATGGAAGATCTGTAATTAATTATGATTCATGTGATAAATGTATCTAGAATGATATATGATACATGTATCTAGAATATATAATTGAATGTGAATTATATTGTCTATTATATTTAAAGTGTATCGAGGTAGGTAAGATAAAAAACTTTTTTTTCAAAAATTATAAAGACAAAAATGAATATTTTTGATAAATTATTTTTAACTGGTATTAAATGGGTGGATAAATTAATGTGAACCGAATATGAACTGAGAAAAAATTTACATGATGATTTATTAATGAATAATTAGTAAGGTGTTTTTTTTATAAATAATGTAAAAAATCGAATTGATGAGTCATCCATTACCATCCCTAATTACTAACCCCTGCCAACATAGATGGCAATATTTTCATGGAACTGTTGTGGTCGAGGGAACGCTCTAGTAGTTCATATTCTGCACAATTTTTTTACGTTCAGATGGGTCTATATAGAGTTTTGAAATTGAATTTTGGTCATAAAAATTATAATTATATTTTTATATAAATTTTCTTTTACAGTGAAAAATTATTTTGGGTTTGTGAAGTAGATAGAATTTTGGTTTGTGAGGTAAAAATTTTTTGTCCAACCACATTAAATCTTGTGTATTATTTATTTATTTATTTTTATTGAATTAAGTTGTCTTTGCCAGTGAATTTCTTATGACATTTTAAAAAAATATAGTATTTTATTTAAAATTTTAGATAACCATTTTGTTGACGTAATTATTTTTATTTATTTTTCGTGTAAGTGTTTAATTGTTTGGGCTTTCTAACTCACTGATACTGAACTGTAAATCCCAAATTAATGTATAATCATTCTCATAAATAGATTGAATAAAAATCACTACATCCCTTTTACTATATTTTAATGTTTGTTATGCCAGCCGGACAATGAATGGATCGTTGATATTTTCTTAATGTTGTTGATGAGAAGGCAACGTACAATATACCACCCCTTGCACTTCAACTTTTCTAAAGCACGGCCCTTCCATCCATTTCAGGTGATGGAGTTACGTTAGTTGACCATTTTTTCGTTAGTCCGTTTATCATTGACCAATAAGATAATGACACGTAACATGTAAATAATTATCTAATAAAATATAAAAAATCGATTATAAATATTTTTAATAAAATAAAAAAGGAAAAAGAAATAAATCATGGGATGGGATCCAACAAATATCTGAAATAATCCAATATATATATATATATATATATATATATATAATCACTCAAGTTTCTTCATAGACTTGGGAAATAAATAAAAGTAATAATACTTATTATTTTTTCTAATTAATTCTATTTTATTATTACTATCGAAAATTCATAAAATTTGTGTTTCTATAAAAATTAATACTATTATGAGATATAATTTTAAACATTATAATTCTTTAAGTTCGAAATACTCAATAATCATTTTTATAGAGAACTCGTAAATTGATATTCCGTAAAAATCTTACTTTCTTCCTATAATAATTTGTAAAAAAAAAAAAAAATCATCAACAAAACAAAAAGAAGAAGGAGAAGAATGTAGAAAAGCCGATAAGTAGAAAAAGAATCATTGCTCAAATCCAAAATATTAAAAATGGAAAATAAGCATAGAAGAAGAATTAAATAATTCCATGATGGGGATAGAAGTAAATAAGTGACAAGGACATCTCACTGTAGACAAGCCGATCACGGGAACCTGTTTGTTAAATTGCTTGCGAGACAATTTCTCATATTTCTAACATTTAATTTGAATGTGAACAGATCATTTGTGGAATTTTCAAAATGGAGCGATAGAGATGAAACTTTCCTTGCGTTGTGAAATTTAATGCACAACTAGATTAACGACTTTTAAGAGTTAGAAATATGTAACACTCAAGAAAACTTGTCCCCATGAAAAGTAAGCTATTTTTTTTTTTTTAATTCAAAAACTAATCATATTTCAATCGTTTTCTGTGGACATGGACTACTCTAAATTCAAAATTAAGTTCCAAATTCTCTATATTTTCATAACCCAAAAAGCAAGTCGGAGTCTTGTGGTGGCCATAAGAAAGCATGAAAACTGAAAATCGAACTTGAGAACTCCTTTGAGATGTCCAAAGTGTAGACCACTGAACCAATCCTTGTGCTTATGAATCTTTATCGCTATCGTTACAACACATCGGTCATAAGAACTGGTATTGGTCAATAATTTTTTAAAGTTTTGTTTGTAAGAATCATTAGATTTCGGAAAACTGCATGCACTTCACAAACAGGTTCCTTTGAAAAATGAAAAGCATTTTCTTGACCACAAACAGTTCTGTTTTGGAGTCTTGCTTTTCCATGACACGAACCTCCTGATAAAACGCAAAAATAAAATGGTGACAAACTGACGACTTTCAGAACAGAGCATGTGCAAAACCATAATGATTGTAGCTCTCCTTGCATTTTTATCACTAATAATCCACATGATATTTAACGTATAAGGCACAAAAGTTGATCCATATTAAATTTTCGCTATGATTTTAAACTAATTCTTTCAAGATATAATATATTCTCCATTAACTAAACATTTTAGAAACCAAAAAAGGGATATGGTCTAAGGGTTAAAATATTATTTTGATTTGATCAAAACTAAAATTTAATTCTTATCATCTATATTCCTTACTGATATTAGGCTTGCACTTATTTAGTATAAGGGAGAGTCTAATAACGAACCAAAGGTTAAGTGTGTTTTAGCGCTAACTTATATCATGAAATAGTGGACTTAATATCGCTTGATAAAAAAATTGATCCGAGAATACCCCAGTACTTGTATTAATTAGAAAAAAGACGAAGATTTTTTTTAATGTAGTTTTCAATTTTTTATTCCAATATTTTTTAATTTGTACATTCTTTTGTTGATAAAAAAAATTATATTACATTTTATTTATTTTCAAATAATTTTATCTTTGTTATTTATATTTAGAGTAAATAGTTCAATCTATCATTATATAATAGTCCGAGTCTCTCATTTATTTCTATTTTTCTAATTGCATCTATTAAGTCTCTAAATAATGCTTAAGTCTCTAATTTGTTCTACCTATTAATTTTTTCGACTATGTGTAAATTGTTTAACTGAAATGTCCTTGATTGAAAAAAAAAAAAAAAACAAACCGAATAATGCTTAAGTCTCTCATTTATTTCTATTAAAAAAAAAATTCTAAAGGCTTCAAAAAATAAAACCTGCAGGTCATGTGACTATTTAAGTGATTTTTTTGGTAAAAAAAATTACCTATGATTGAAAAAATTAATCGAAGGATAGATTTGGAGAATAAAACAATATTCAAAAAATAATAAATATAATTAGAAAAATAGAGACAAATAAAAACTCATGCTATATAAAAACAGATTAACATATTTATCCTTTTATTTAATCCTACTCATAAATGTGACATCCTTCGATATATTTTTCAGTACTCAGTTCTTAATGAAAGTATATAATAAAAGGTTTTACTTTAAAATATTGATTTGGTGGCTAAAGAAGTTTGTTTCATTTCTTGACATTTGATAAATAGAATTCCATTTGCCTTTGAATGTTGACAGGATGAAAGTAGCATTCATCCTGTAAACATTCAAAGGCAAATGGAATTCTATTTGCATGTAGCATTCATGTATACTCCCAAATTCTATTTGCCTTAACTACACCAGCAGAACACAATTAGGAGCACTTTAAGCTTAATCACAATAGCAACCAAACCAAATTCTGCTTCAAAATCTGCTGATGTGATATTACATTGCAAATGCATATGCGCACAAACAGGAGAGTTATGGCTCAATCACCGTGGTGATACCATAGAAAGAGTTACTTCATTAGCAGAAAAAACTTTCTGATTCGCTGATTGAGCTTCTGTTGCAAAAAATCGTCCAACAGAAAATGCTGGTTGTTTAGGGATAGGAAGTGTTATGGTGTTACTTGCCAACATAACAACAACAGATGACATTGTGGGTCTATCTGCTGGGTCTTCTTGCACACACAACAACCCCAATTGGATGCATTTCAGCACCTCGGTTGCCACACTTGACATCTCTAGTAATGGATCCATCAACTCGAGTCCTCGACCTTCCGACCACAGCTTCCATGCCTGAAAAATTGAACTCCTCTGTGTCAGTATATATGGTAATGATAGTATTTATTGCCGTTAATTAGACATGCTTAATTTGAAGTACAGATAGTGATGGACCATACAAAAGTGATCAGGCTTTCCCCTTCTTCTGAAAGATGAAAGCTGCCATTCCTTTTCCCGCTAATTATCTCTAACAGCAGGACACCAAAACTGAAAACGTCCGATTTTACTGAAGATAGTCCTGACATAGCATACTCAGGGGCCATGTATCCACTGTCGAATCCATACAAAAAAAAAAAAAGAAATAAATTGCTTTAGATGCATGCTGAAGTTATGAAGTTCTGCAGCATCACATTAATTGAAGTGTCTTCGCCTTTTTTACAGGGAAACAATATTCGTCTGACAGCATATTTGAAAAGAAATTTGCCTATCTTTTTGAGAATTTTTAATTTAAACATAGAAAAGCAAAATCCATTGTTATGATAAACAGAGGTCTGCAGAGAAACGATGGCATAAACTTACTATGTTCCAACAATTCTATTTGTGTTAGCCTCGCTTTGATTTCCACCAAAAATCCTAGCCATTCCAAAGTCTGATATCTTTGGATTCATCTCATAATCAAGCAAAATGTTGCTGGCTTTGAGGTCCCTGTGAATAATCCTGAGACGAGAATCTTCATGCAGATACAAGAGCCCCCGAGAAATTCCATTGATGACGCATAGGCGTCTTTGCCAGTCAAGTTGCACACGCATGCTGGAATCTATGTAGCATCAAAATTAAATAACAAGTCAGCTACAGTTTCTCCTCCCTGCTATAAAGCATAAAGATGCCTGTATTTCAAGTTCGGGTGTCAAACCAAAGAGAAAGACATCAAGGCTTTTGTTGGGCATATACTCATAGACAAGTAACTTCTCATTTTTTTCCAGGCAACATCCCAGGAGTCTGACAAGATTTCTGTGCTGAAGCTTGGCAATTAAAGTGACTTCGTTCAAGAATTCCCTTAGTCCTTGACCAGAAGTTCTTGAGAGCCTCTTAACTGCAATTTCTTTGCCATCATCTAATATACCCTGAGCACATATTCTTCCAATAAGCAATAATATTAACTGTGAAGCATAATATTAGGCAATTTCCCAATATTTTCTTTTGAGAGAATGACATATTAATTGAAGCCTCAATTACCTGGTATACTGGGCCAAACCCTCCTTGGCCAAGTTTATTTTCGTCAGAAAACTGCTTTGTAGCTTCATGTATAACTCCTAGCGGGATCAAAGGGAAGTCCTGGGATTTCACCTCTCCTTGAATATTGCTGTTTGAATAGTTATCCCCAATTGTTCCTCCTCCTGCCAAGTCAAATAATTGATCGCCTTGGCTATTTCCTCTTTCCTCTGCAGGAGATATTGTGGAGAACTAATAATGATGGTAATCATGACCACGACAATGATTGATTATACAAGTTAGAATGCAGTTTTAATTTGTTCCCAAACTTTTGGAACTGATTACTACGTTTTTGAGAGATTAATTAGGATGACCTTGTTTCCACTCTTTTGGATCTTAATTCCACTTCACTAATTAAACTCTTATCAAATTTTATCTTATCAAATGTAATAAAAAAATAATAATAATAACAAACCTCTCTTTCTCAGAGTACATTAACTAAATGTATAACTTGTTCCAATGCTTCAAAAATTTCGTTGTGTTTTTAATCTTCTACTTTCTTGCATTTTTGTCAGCTATGATGATGAACCGACTAAAAAAAGTACAGAATTGACAGAATTAAAGCCAAATATTCCATCTCTACCTAATTTCGTCTTCTTATCATGCTAAGCCACAACATATATGCAAATTGAAAGTTTTCTGATTTACGGTTCCTCAAAGTTTTAATTTATGGTTCAGATTATGTTCCAAACATATTTGGAAATTATATATAAACTAGCTAGGTAGTAGCTAGATGTACTAAATTTTTTTAGTAGCAGGACTTTCTGTGTATGTATGCATACCTTTTCTGAGATTCTTCCTTCTCCAGATAGTATAAGTGCAACAACTGAAAAATAGTACTCCAATTACTGCTGATAGGCTTGCACCCACTTTGATCGATATCAACTTCCTTCCATCTCCTTCTTCACAGTCACAATGTTTTTATTGCCCATCATTATTCTAGATAATAAAATCCATACTATTGATTCATGATTTATGAAATGATAAAGAAGAAAATAAGAACCTTTTCCTTCTGATCTTGGACCTGGAAATGGAGGGGGAAGAACAACTGGCGTAGGTGGTAGCGCCACTGCAGCTTCATTGTAAAATAAATACGTTCCAAATCCAAAATGACAGCTTGGAAACAAGACTCTTCCTCCTAGCCTATTATCACAACAATTTAGTAACTTGGAGTTAGCTGCCTGAAGACACTGTTTACAATCGGAGGTTGATAGATCCGGTGTGCACTCCACAAGAACGTATAGATCTTCACGCCATGTATCAATCACTTTCTTGACTGCGAACTTCTTAGCACCTGATGGAGCACTTGCAGCTTCTTTAGCTGCACCAGTTATAGTTCTCACCACTAGCTCATTATATTCTATATTAGCTGTTATATTATTTGGATTCGTCATGAATAAAGTGAAGTCTGTGTCCATGGCGGAGAAGATGTTCCTGTTTGAGTAGCGCAGGAAACACTCATCATACCATATCATAGCCTCCTTCTCTATGGGACAAAGTTTGACTATATCTTGAGTGGCAAAGGTGACACAATTTAGACAAACTTCGACACTGAGATCCCCCGGCAAAGAAAGAGGCCATAGACATCATAAGGGTCCTGTCCTGCAGAGAAGTTGTAAAATCCAATGTTATTGCGGGTTGCATTGGAGACAAATGAAGAGAGGAGGATATTTAAATTGGCTGGATATTTGCTGTTTTTAACGAAAGTGGTTGTGTTTGGGCAATAATGATAAAGGTAATTGGGCTTCTGTGCTTCCGTGATGCTAATAGTGATCAGGGCTGTAAAGCAGAGCAGCACAACAGAGAATCTCAGAGAATACATTTTTGTGATGTCTGATAAGGTTTTGTTGCACCTAGGCCATAGATTTATCTGAACGTTTTCCTTTAATTACAACTTAGTCCATGTGTTTTATCAAAAGAAATTAATTAAAAACTCTTATAATAACAAAAATAATTAAATAATTTTTTTATTAGTGTTGATCGTGTTTAATTTATAGATATTTTGTTTTAAAAATAATACCTTTTTTTCTTGTCAATATTTTATTCTTCTATTTGGTAAAACAAAAGGTCAAAATAAATTTTAAAAAATAAAATAAACAAAAAGAATTAAGTTCTGATATTAAATACATAGAAATATGAAAACTAATAAATTAATTTTGCTGAAATTCAAAAACTGATTGATAACTAAGTCTCTTGTGTTAGATGGAGTCAATGGCCAAAGTCAAGCCACTTCTATCGTCCGTTCCCTTCGAAATAAAAGATGCATCCGTGCCTTACAAGTAGGATACCGATCTGTCAAACTTGTGGAATATCGAAATGTGAAAAGAGAAAAATATGCGAAAAGGATTTAATTGGTTGATGGGAATAGAAATCAGGCGACAAAGGTCGACGGAACTTCCCTGAGGATCGTTAAAGTGCTCGTAAGACGATTCATTGTAATTCTAAGATTCGATTTGGAATTTTGGATGTTATTAGACTTAAAGAATGTTCAAAATGTAGCCATGGAAATGGAGGAGAAACTTCTAAAATTACCTTCTTCCATTGACACAGCAGTGCTTGCAGATATCGGCATCACGGTTTCTTTGAAGCCTATACAGCGTCCCAGATGAGACCTATACCTTGGCCTGTAGGGTGAAACGTTCGGAACGTTGAATTATGAAAAGAGGAAGAATACAGAAAAAGGAATTAATGGGTCGGTGGGGATAAAAGTTGAGAGACGAAGGCATTTCGTAGTACAGAAAACTCATCATTGAAACTTTCCTGATGTTTGTTAAAGCGCTACTTTGGCATCTCATAGTAGAAAAAACTCATCTTACGTTGTTATCATCCATATTAATATTTTTTTACTTAGCAAACCTTTTAAAAAAGCATAATTAGCAATCATCATATAGTTTAATGAAACCTAGTCCAACTGGATTGAGTTGACTAAATTTTACAAGCATGTGTTAAAGTTTGATCAAATCTTTTTCACATTAGCTAATTAATCAAATTAATAGAAACACAGTGATGTTTGTAAGGATTAGTCAGAATTTTAACTTTGCCTCAGCACATTTGAATAATAAAAACATTAAACTTTTTTTTTTTTGAAAAAAAGAAGAAGTTCATTGGTGGTTTTTCTTGTCAGTCATTCAACCATTTGAAAAATATTGTAGTTTTCTTCTCTATACTTGAAGTACATTTTAAAAGTCCGCTAGGTTTATTATCTTACAAAACAAAATGCCATTGTAAGATATATGTCATCATCCTATATTTATTTTTCAAAAAGCAAAACAATAAAAACGAAAAAATATATATAAAAAAAAGAAAAAAGGAGACTGAATTTACTTCAACTGAAGCTGCAAATCATATTATCTTCAATCAATTCTGTTAGCTAATCTCCTTTAATTTCTCATTGATTTTGGTTTACTGTCAATTCAGGATTTATGTTGAATTTTGAGGGGTTTTAAAATTAGATTGAAATTGGGTCTAGGGAACGCAAATTAAATCCAATTGAAGTCAATTGGAGTTTCAATTTGGGGTTTTAAACCCCAAATTGAAGCTGAATTGACTTCAATTAAAACCTAGAGTTCTTGAAAAAATTTTGAAAAAAAAATCAAATTTGGGGTTTTATGAAATAACGGTTCAATTAGGTTTAAATTTGCTTGATTCCAAGAGAAATCAAACCTATTAGGTCCAATTGAAAGAAAATTGAAGAAAATCAAAGTTTAGGTTTTGACAGAATTGGAATTTTTTTTGAAAAAATTGATTTGGGGTTTTTTTGAATGTAGAGAGAAATTAAGAAGTTTAGAAGTGGGAAGGAAGAAAGAAAGGGTGAAGGAACGAACCAAAAACTTTTGGTTCCTTCCACATGGACAAGTTCAGATTCAAAAAAAGAAGAAGAGAGAGAGAGAGGATTCGACAAAGAGGAAGAAGAAAGGAAGGAGAAGGAAGAGAAAAGGAAAGAAAAAGGGAAGGAAAGAAGTGGGAGCACATGGATGAACCAGTTCTGGTTTATCCGTGGCAACTTCAGGAGGCAGCTAGGGAGATGAAGAAGAAAAAAAGAGAGAAAGAGAAGGAAAAAAGAGAAACTCTGACGCCGGGGGGTGGGGGGTGAGGGTGATTTGATCCATTTTTTTTACTTAAAATGGAATTAGGGGGTGTTTGTGGGTTCGGCTAAACTCAACCCAGAGATCAGCCCCGTCCAGCCCAAAAATAAAAACATTGGGCTGGACTGTCCGAACCAAAAAATGGACCGGATTGATTCCAGTCCGGCCCGATCCAAAAATAAATAAATAATGGTAGTTAACAAAAAAAATGTCTTTGTTTAAATTCTGAATTTATTTTATGCATGTTTGTTATTAATTTGGATTTCAGTAATTGAATTTTCTTTGATTTACTTAATTAATGTAACTTTAATTTATTTGTTTTGTAATTAGACTCGAAAATTAATAGGTAAAGGATTATCAAGTATCTTAATTTTTTAGGAACCGATGATGATCGTCGACAAAAAAATAAAAAAAAATCATTATAAAACTTTTAACAAAGTCTTCTCTTACCTAATAAAGACTGTCGTTAGCAATATATATATATATATTGAGAGAGAGAGAGAGAGAGATGTTATTTGACACATCAATTGTATTGAGACTTAAAAAGTTGATCCAATGTTTGAACCGATATGTCTCTCGACGAAGGGATCCAACGATCATTTCAATACAATGTCACATTTAAAAATAAAAAAATTTTGAAACAAAGAATTTGGAATTTAGACAAAGATTAATTTCTAGAAAAAATAGATTTCTTTCGGGACATAAATTTTAGGATTAAAGCAAACATGATACCTTTCTTCGGAAGGAACGATGTTGAGTGATTAAATATCTTTTCAAAAACGTAACTAACTCATTACCCTAAAATCTCCGAACTAATACTTATTTTAGATTTCTAGCTCCTTCAATACTAGATGAAAACTTCAAATTTGTAAATATTTCTGTAAATAAATCTTAAGATTTTTTTGAAAGTTCTATCCGACGTCGGATAACAATACTTTCAATAGTTTTGAAGAAGATTAATTTTTGGCAAAAATAGACTTCTTTCGAGACATAAATTTTAAGATTAAAGCATACATGATACTTTTCTTTAGAAGAAACGCTGTTGGGGGGATTAAATATCTTTTAAAAAACATAACTAACTTCTTACGCTAAAATCTCCGAACTAATGCTTATTTTAGATTTCTAACTCTTTCAATATTAGGTGAGGATTTCAAATTTGTAAATATTTTTCTATAAATAAATCTTAAGATTTTTTTAAATTTCTATACGTCGTTTGATAGCAATACTTTCAATAGTTTTGAAGAAAAAAAAGTGATTTTCATATGTTTTTAAAACTAATTTTTTTTATATTATTAATTTGCAATAAGAAGTCAGGTCATGTTGAGATGTTAGGAGATTGGCATCGATCGTGCTCGGGCAAGACCCGGGATGTACGAGGGTGACGCAACCTTTGGGCCACTGTCCATTTCAAGGCAATAAAGGATAGGGCACGATGGTAATGAGGTCAGGTCTTGGGCACGTGGGGTTTCGGATGGTAGCTGGAAAAGGATATCTGGGGATCCCGGGATCGAGTTAGGAGTGGGTTAGGGGTGTCTAATCAACTTTCACTTCTTTCCCTTTTTTCTAATTTTTCATTTCCACTAATTTTTGTTAGGCGTGTAAATTTTAAACTCATTCCTAAAGTTTACAAAATATTCCAAAATTATCCAAAAAGTAAGGAAAAAAAATCAAAACTAACAAAAATAAAAATAAAAAATAAATAAGAAAAGATATTTTTTATTAAAACAACTGTGATAAAACTTGAGAAAATTAATTTTAAAGAAATCCTCAAACCTCACCAACTTTAATTCTCACATAGTATTATCATATTTTCTTTTGTTAAAACTATAGTTCAATGAAAAATAAAATTCAAAATTAGTTTTATTCTCTCTCTCTTTCTTTCTTTATTTTTAGACTTACAATATTTTTCATTTTGAGAATATTCGAACAAAAATAATGTCATAACAGTCAATCTCAACAATAGATAATTCAGTCACAAGGTTACTCCTAATAATGTATTGCTTACGATAGGGACCAATGCGAGAATCAGTTGACTTGCTTTACGGTCCTCTTAAAATTATTAAGGAATGTCATCAAGACATCGACAGTCGCATTCCTGAAGACAATTTCAAAGAATATATCTACGTCACTGTCCAGACTTGACCCCTCCAACATTTACGTGCTCACAGGAGCATTTTGCACGAGAATGCCCAAAGAATATATCTTTTCTCGTCAATATTTTATTTTTCTGTTTGTTAAAATAAAAAAATAAAAATAAATACAAAAAACATGAAATAAACAAAAAGAATTAAGTTATGAGATTATATATATAGTTTATAAAAATATGAAAACTAATAAATTAATTTTGCTGAAATACAAAAACTAATTGATAATCAATCAAATATTTGAAAGACGATTAATTGCTTAATTTAGTAACTCTATGAAAAATTACAGCTTCAACTCATAGATAACCATTTTATCTTATCGGCAGGAGTTGGTCCAGTCATCAATCAAATATTTTACAGCATCCATGACTGTACCTCCCACAAAGCTATAGAACTTCTAGTTTTACTAAGGAAAATCTATTTTAATTTCTCCTTTGCCAGTGGCAAGGATTGATTGGTAGTAGTCTAAAAAAAATGTCTGTTATTGATTACATTGTAGGGTTAATGGGTTTGGGGATATAGGTTTGTTGGAGAAATTTAATAGTTACGTCCAATTTCTGGTATGCTTGGGGTATAATGAATCATACTTTGAAAGAGTGTGAGCATTATACTGATGACGAAGACGATCCCGGGCTTAGAATGAGAAGCTATGATGGCTGGCAAAGAGCTTTGCCAAGGAAAAACAATACCGTTTCCAATTTAGAGAACCTTAGAGCTAGGGTGATGGGTACCAGAAAATCTCTCCAAGAGGCCATGAATGCTGCATCAAACATGAACACTACAATCGGAGATGAATTTGATGACGTGTCTGAAGCCTTTATTGACTCCCGAAATTATACAGCCTCCCAGAAAAGGAATGCGAGCTGGATAATTAAATAATTTTTTCATTAATATTGATCATGTTTAATTTACTGCTATTTTGTTCTAAAAATAATATTTTTTTATTAATATTTTATTTTTATATTTGTTAAAATAAAAAATTAAAATAAATTGAAATAAAAAAATGAAGTTATGAGATTAAATATATAGTTTATAAAAATATGAAAACTTATTAATTAGTTTTGCTAAAATACTAAAACTAAGTTATCATTAAGTCTTTTGCTTTTGATGGAGTCAAGCCACTTTTGTTGGACTCGTTCCTCACAAATACCGATCAGTCAGACTCGTGATGGGGACATAAGTTAATAAGCGACAACATAGTGGAGAAACTGATCAGTCTAGACTTTAATTGGTGAGCGATGTCACAATTTAATTTCCAGCCTCATAATTAGTTTTTAAAAAATTCCTTTTATTTAATTTTATTTTCTTTTTTTTCTTTTATTTTTCATTTTATTGTGTTACAAAATATATAGCCATCGCTACTCTGACTTTTACAGGACTCCCGAAATTAATAGTTAATAGTTTCATTTAAATTATTTATTATTTATTTTGAGGATATGAATTATTATTAATTTTGGAAGTCGCCACCTAGTATTGTAAAAAATACAAATCTAAAAATAAGCACTTGGTTCAAAGATTCTAAAATAAAGAGTTAATTATGCTTTTGAAAATATGTAAATCATCAAAAAACATCATTTATTAAGAAATATATCGTGTTTAGTTTAGTTATAAAATTTATCTCCTAAATTTTTCTATTTTTGTCAAAATTAGAAGTTTTATTTCCTATGTCAAATTAAGTTTTTTTTTATTTGTGCATCATATAGAATCGATCGTTAGATCTTTCTGTCGAGAGACACATCGATTTGGCATCGGATCCATTTTAATTTTCGACATATCTAGTATGTCGAAGACCGATATAATTATTAAGATATGATTGATGTGAGTTACCATAAGTACATATTTGATATGAGACTTTATAAAAATTTTACCTAGTATCTCCATTTCTTTTTTTTTCTTTATTTATTTATTTTATTTTATTCTTCTTTTTTTTTCTTTACCATTTTTTTTTACTTAGCATTTTCTCTCTTTTTTTCTTCATTTTTTTCTCTTTTTTTCTTCTTTACCAATTTTTTTCATTTTCCTTATTTTTTTTCTAGCATTTTTTTTTTAAATTTTCCTAACATTCCTTTCTTTTATTTTTTATTTGTTAGTGAATTGTCATCGGTCCCTAAAAATTAAGAGACTCGGACAATTCGTCAACTTATTAATTACCTAACCTAATTATTAAAATAAATTCTAAAATAAATATCAACTAATAAATTCAAAAAATTAAATTTAAATTAAGCATAAAATAAAATAAAAACATGAATACATAAAAGAAGCTCGGGACAGCCTCTCTTATTCTCTCTCTCTCTTTTTTCGTGATGGATTGGGCTGAGATCAGCCCAGCCCTTGCCTGGCTTGGGTTGGGCCAACCCAACCCACTCTCTCTATTTTATTCTGCCAGGCTTATACTAATTTCAGAAACAAAATTATTATTCGATCCCAATTCATTTTGGATCGAATTTCTCAATCTCATCTCTCTCTCTCTCTCGTTTCTTGTCTTCTTCCTTCTTCAACCAAAACTCAGTACGCCTCCTGATCAACTCTCCCGTCCCGTTCTTACATCAATCAAGCCCAAAACTTCATCTCATCTCTTTCCCCCAATTCTCAACTCGAACAAGTTACCTGATCTCCTCTCCTCTCCTACGATCCCCCTCTGTCAAAATCGAAACCCTAATCCCCCTTTTTCTTTCTCTTCCTCTCTGCCTTTTGCACACTTGGATTAGCTTAATTCCTCCGGAGATCGAACAATCTCAACCCCTTATGAACCCTTTCTTCTAAAAATCATCTGATCTATCACTGTCTTGAAAACCCAAAACACCATAGATCTGCTTCTGGTTTCTACTTAATCTAAATAGCTGATAAAACCCTACAATTGAAACCCAAATTCCCAAAATCGAACCCCTTTATAGCCTTGGATCCTTCCTCTCTTCTCAATCGAAAACCCTAAGACTTAAAATTAAATGGTCTAAACCCCGAATCCCAGTCCCTACAGCCCTTAAAGAAACAATTCCTTACTTAAATTTTCCTCCTACAATTTTCTCTGGATTGCTCTCCCAATTCCTTTCTCTTCCTTCCTCAATGTTTCTGTATCCCCTTCTATTTATATTGGATAAAAAGGTTCCCTCCTCTGCATTGCTTTAGTGGCAGTTTTTGGATTCTGTATAAACAGAGCCAGAAACAAATTTGTTTTTGGGGTGTGCCTTATGGTATGTTTGTTTTGGGTATGTGCAGGTTGCAGTTTGCAGTGGCGGTAGTGACAGTTTGCAATGGCAGGGTTGACCTGCTTTGTCCAGGTGTTGCTGGGTTTTGATGCAGAGGGACATGGATGCAAGGTTGACTTGCTTTGATACAGGAGGTTATGTAGGGGTTTGTCCAGGAGTTGCAGGAGCATGGTTGCAGTGGACATGCATGCAGGGCTGACCTGCTGCAGAAGAAACAGGTCCTCCTGGGGACTGAATTGATCCTGCCATTTGTGTACTTGATCAATTTGGGTCCCTGGGAATCGAATTTTGTTTTAATTGTATCCTTAAGAGATATCATTGTAATCTCTGTACTTTTAGTTTCTTCAATCGGGTCCCTGTACTTTGTAATTTTAGTCCTAAAGTTTCCAATTGTACCTCTGATTGCTCTAATTGTAGTTCTATTTGATTCAATTATGTCCCTATCAATTAAGTTTTATATATAAATCACTGTGTGATCAAGGCAATAAAAACGAGAAGAAGTTTTTCTTTTTTTTTCAATATATATGGCAAAATTTTTCTTCTTTTTGCTGTATGATGCTGCTGCTGCTGCCGCTGCTACTGCCGCTGCTACTTTTTCTTTCTCATGCTATCTTATTGCCTTGTACTTTGCTGGCTTGTTTGATGCACGCATAAAATGTCCAAAACTAGTGACCTTTATAATGGTCACTTGACCGGCCGACATTAGTTTAGGCAATTTTTTGTTTTTTTACATGGGTTTTGAGTTCCACATGATCAGGAACCCAATCAAACAATCATAATTCATAAATCGAAAAAATTCATGATTAAGCTCTAACACCAAAATCTGTCAAACTATAAATTTAATTGTGTCACAAAATATACAACAATAGTTGAAAAATACATTAATTACGATCAAAAAGAAAAAGAAAATGAAGATGGGTCTGCTGACCATACCTCATCTTTTGAATAATTAATTTCGTGAAAAAAGATGTGGTTTCTTATTCCTAATAAAGCATCTGAGTTTTCAATCTTAAAAAAAAGGGAATACATTAATTAATTTCTTGACAGAAATCCACTAGTTCTTATTTCCCATGCAGCTTAACCTTCTTCTTCTTACCTTTTATTTTCCCTTCCGAACCAATTGGAACAACACCTTGAAACTTGATCTTATGATGCTTACTCTTAACGTGCCAAGTTTTGTATTGAATGCTAGTTGATAAATCAACATTCAATTCAGCTGTTCCATTGGAAACTGCCTTGGCAAGAGCTCCCCATACCTTTGCATTGACATCCACCTTATCTATAACTTGATTATTGGTTTTATCTTTACCTTGATCAAACCTAGGAATTGTATTGTTTCCCACCATGTCCTGCTTATATTTGAAACTCATCAAAATGTCATCATAGTAGATGCTGGACTCTTTGTCTAGATTTTTAACTACAAGAACATACTTGAAGCTGGCGCTTTGATTCTCATTGCTAACAGAAGTTGGGAGGGAGAACTCAGTGATGGTGAAGTTTGGCTCTTTGGGACGTAAACTTAGCCATAAACAAAGGGCAAGGAGGCCTAATAGGCCTATGATTTGGAGAAGCCTTAGGTAGTTTTTTATTTGAAACATTATTCTAATCTATGTTGAGAGGTGGAAATAATAGTAGGTTTTGAGGTATATTTAGGGTCCATTGTAGATTGAAATATGATTTGTTTTTGAGGCAATAGTGCTTTGAGTGAGAAGAAAGCTAAGAAGTTTTTATTCTTTGAGTCTAAGGGTGGCAGTTTTATGGGAATATTATTGGTTGAAGAAGAGAGAATATATGCTTTGCGTTGTTATGATATTTTAGATAATGTTAAGGCCTAAGCTCTAAAGCCTCAGTGGCACATCAAAAAAAGTGCATGAAAGCTTCCTCCTTAAAGTCTGGAATGCGTAGACCTGGAGGAAATGATTAATTGAGGAATGTATACACTTCTGTGTTTTACAACCTCGGAAAGAATCTCAGCAAGTAAAATAACGAAGAATTACAAGGAATTCTGAATTGCTGCTCAATTTCCTGCTCAGTTGTTTTTTAACACCCAATTTGGATTTTGGACATCGAGGAGAATATTGGTGTCAATAAAGGTTCTTTTTCTTTTATCCGCTTTACAGTTTAATCCGAGTCTGGCAAACAGCAGATTTCACAGCTTTCTTGTTTCTTTTGTATAATTATTTAAGGTCCAACTCCAATGCAACGTATTGAACACTTTGTCAAGATTGGACTTATTCTATATGAGAAAAAAAATAAATAAATAAAAAGAAGATTGAACTTACATAAAAATATTCTTACCTTTTTTAAAAAAAAAAAATTCTTCAAATATTTCAAATCCAAAAATTTAGAATAATCATTTTCTATTCTGTTGAACTGTTCTCTTGGACGCAAAAAGTGAGTACTGCTGTACTAGACAAAGAACAGTCCTCTTCAAAAAATGTTGATTACCATACGGTCCATGTATATTATGTTTAATCAAGTCAATTTTTTTATGAAAATAATGATTGTTGATCTACTGCTCCTAACATTATCAATGGCAGAAATTGTTAGAAATTTTAATAAAGTAAATTTAATATAATATTATCAACAAATTAACCAATATCCATATCAAATAATTTCACATTAAAAAGAGAAAAAACATTACTACAAATAAAATTACATAACTTTGACAAATCAAGTGAAGTATACTCTTTCGATTGTCTTCTATTCCCAAGTCTCTGGTTTTTCCACAATTTTTCCAGATTGCTTCTGCCTTCGCTACAATTATCCAGTCCCTCCAACTTTACCTCAATTGCCTCCCAATTTTCGCTCCAATTGCCTCAGAATTTCCTCTATAATTTCCTCTAATTCTCTGAGTTCCACAACCCACCCCCCCAAAGATTCCCCCAATTGTCTCAGCCTCAAATTTTCCTCTTACAATTGTCACTGGATTGCTCTCCCAATACCTTTCTCTTCCTTCCTCAATGTTTCTGTATCCCCTTCTATTTATGTTGGGTAAAAAGGTTCCCTCCTCTGCATTGCTTTAATGGCAATTTTTGGAGTCTGTATAAACAGAGCCAGAAACAAATTTGTTTTTGGGGTGTGCCTAATGGTATGTTTGTTTCGGGTATGTGCAGGTTGTAGTTTGCAGTGGTGGTAGTGGCAGGTTGCAATGGCAGGGTTGACCTGCTTTGTCCAGGGGCTGCAGGGTTTTGATGCAGGGGGACATGGATGCAAGGTTGACTTGCTTTGATACAGGAGGTTATGTGGGGGGTTTGTCCAGAAGTTGCAGGAGCTTGGTTGCAGTGGACATGGATGCAGGGTTGACCTGCTTTGATTCAGGTGGTTTGGGATGCAGGACGACAGGTCGTCCGTGGGGCTGAATTGATCCTACCATTTGTGTACTGGATCAATTTTGGTCCCTCGGAATCCTAATTGTATCCTTAGGAGATATCATTGTAATCTCTGTACTTTTAGTTTCTTTAATCGGGTTCCTGTACTTTGTAATTTTAGTCGTACAGTTTTCAATTGTACTTCTAATTGCTCTAATTATAGTTCTATTTGATTCAATTATGTCCCTATCAATTAAATTATATATATATATATATATATATATATATATATATATTTGATCTCTTGGCTTAATGGAAATAAAGTAAAAATAAAATAAATATAAGATAAAATCATAACAAGAAAAAAACAAAATAAAATAAATGGAAATTTTTTGGGTTATAACAATAACAATGATTGAAAAATACATTAATTTCATATATTGATTGGATTTGAAATCACTGTGTGATCAAGGCAATAAAAACGAGAAGCAGTTTTTCTTTTTTTCCTATATATATGGCAAAATTTTTCTTCTTTTCGCTGTATGATGCTGGTGCTGCTGCTTTTTCCGTTTTAATGCTATCTTGTTGGCTTGTACTTTGTTGGCCAAAACTAATGACCTTTATAATGGTCACTTGACCGGCCGACATTAGTTTAGGCTTTTTTTTTTTACATGGGATTTGACTTCCACATGATCAGGAACCGAACCAAGAAATCATAAATCGAAAATCGAAAAAATTCATGATTACGCTTTAACACCAAAATCTGTCAAACTATAAATTTTATTGTGTTACAAAATATATAACAATAGTTGAAAAATACATTAATTACGATCAAAAAGAAAAAGAAAATGGAGTGGGTCTGCTAACCATACCTCATCTTTTGAATAATTAATTTCGTGAAAAAAGATGTGGTTTCTTATTCCTAATAAAGCATCTGATTTTTCAATTCAAAAGAAAAAAGAAAAAAAAAGGAATACATTAATTAATTTCTTGAAAGAAATCCACTAGCCCTTATTTCCATGCAGCTTAACCTTCTTCTTCTTGCCTTTTATTTTCCCATCCGCACCAATTGGAACAACACCTTGAAACTTGATCTTATGATGCTTACTCTTAACGTGCCAAGTTTTGTATTGAATGCTAGTTGATAAATCAACATTCAATTCAGCTGTTCCATTGGAAACTGCCTTGGCAAGAGCTCCCCGTACCTTTGGATTGACATCCACCTTATCTATAACTTGATTAGTGGTTTTATCTTTACCTTGATCAAAACTTGGAATTGTATTGTTTCCCACCATGTCCTGCTTATACTTGAAACTCATCAAAATGTCATCATAGTAGATGCTGGACTCTTTGTCTGGATTCTTAACTACAAGAACGTACTTGAAGCTAGCGCTTTGATTCTCATCGCTAACAGAAGTTGGGATGGAGAACTCAGTGATGGTGAAGTTTGGCTTTTTGGGACGTAAACTTAGCCATAAACAAAGGGCAAGGAGGCCTAATAGGCCTATGATTTGAAGAAGCCATAGGTAGAAGTTTTTGGTTTGAAACATTATTCTAATCTATATTGAGAGGTGGAATTAATAGGAGGTTTTGAGATATATTTAGGGTCCATTGTAGATTGAAATATGATTTGTTCGTGAGGCAATAGTGCTTTGAGTGAGAAGAAAGCTAAGAAGTTTGATTCTTTGAGTCTAAGGGTGGCGGTTTTATGAGAATATTACAGGTTGAAGAAGAGAGAATATATGCTTTGCGTTGTTATGATATTTTAGATAACGTTATGTAATGACGTAATCAAGCTCTAAATTAAGCCTCAGTAGCACATTAAAAAAAAAGGTGCATTTAAGCTTCCTTCTTCAAGCCTGGGATGTGTCGACCTGGAGGAAATGATTAGTGGAGGAATGTATACACTTCTGTGTTTTACAACCTCGGAAAGAATCTCAGCAAGTAAAATAACGAAGAATTACAAGGAATTCTGAATTGCTGCTCAACTTCCTGCTCAGTTGATTTTAACACCCAATTTGGATTTTGGACATCGAGGAGAATATTGGTGTCAATAAAGGTTCCTTTTCTATTTCTTTTTCTTTTATGCGCTTTACAGCTTAATCCGAATCTGGCAAACAGGAAATTTCACAGTTTTCTTGTGAAACCGTATAATTCGACTTTTTTATTTATTAAAATTTTAAGTTTTTTTCTATTCAATTTAAAAGTTTTATTTTATATTATTATTGTTTTGAACTCTAATATATCACATAAGCATAAGTGACATGCTCTAATCAATGATATCTTGTTATATGCCACGGTGGGTTTAAATTATGTGATTGAATTGATGACATGAAAATATATCATTAACTAGAGCTTATCATGTATAGTTATGTGACACATTAAGGTTTAAAACAATAATAACATAAAAGTAAAACTCTTAAATTGGACGAAAAAATTAAAATTGCAATTAAAAAATTCGAAATGTACGGGATTTCAATATATACAAAACCCTATAATTATTTAAGAGCCACTTCCAATGCAACATATTGACCATTTTGTCAAGATTGGACTTATTCTACGTGAGAAAAATAAATAAAACAATAAGAAATTTTTTTTAAAAAATGATTGCACTTACATAAAAATATTCTTATCATTTTCTTTTTTTATTCTCAAGATATCTCAAACTCAAAAACCAAGATTAATTTATTGTTATTGTGTTGAATGTACAAAATGAACACAACTACTCACAGAGCAGCATTCCTCAAAGAATGTTGATTAAGGTTGATGTATTTTGTGTTTAATTAAGTTAATTTTTTGTGAAAATAATGATTGTTGATCTACTACTCCTAATATAATCAATGGCAGAAATTGTTAGAAATTTTAATAAAGTAAATTTAATATAATATTATCAACAAATTAACCAATATCCATATCAAATAATTTCACATTAAAAAGAGAAAAAAATTACTACAAATAAAATTACATAACTTTGACAAATCAAGTGAAATATACAGGACATCTCTTATTTTTATACGTTGGCAAGATGGACCCATCGGTGGCAACACCAATATCACAACTGGAGTGCATCCGATGGCGCTTACTATCCCACGTGGACACCTTAAATCGAATCATGGCCGTTACATCTAAACGGAAGATAACCGTTCCAAGCGCACGATCATTCCTAAACGCCATCCAACGGTCACTATTCATATTCAGGGTGGCCCCACTCAACACCCTGTAAAAAATGGTTGTATTTTTGGGCTCCTGATAAAATGAGTCCACTAAACGTGTCGACCCAATTGCTTGATTTCTATAATAAACAAAGGCTTCCACCGAATCATAAAAATACCCGATTGCTTGGTTTGAGTTCCGAGCTGTGACATTGAAAATTATCTCAGCATTTTCGAACCCGGTTGGTTGATCCAAACCCGGAATCGAAAAATCCACGACGTGGATCCGTGGGCGATGAGGGCGTAAACTGAGCCATGTTATGAAGGCAGCAACGCCAACAATGAATAGAAGGGTTAAAAAGATGCCACAGATAACCTTAGAAATCCGAGTAGTCAGGCTGTCGGTGACTCGATGGACGTAGTAGCTGGCATTATGGTGGCGTTTGAAGGGTTGGGGTTTCCGTTCATGGTGGATAGGTAATTGTTGGGCGGTGGACGACATGTTTTCTTGGCAAGAAAATGAAGGAAGTTTCTAAAGAATTTTGATGAATGGAAGTGTTTGTGGAGTTGTGTTTTGTAGTATAGCTAGGAAGTTAAGGAATGTCGGTATTTTGCATGGGGAAGAAAAGAATATATTCTTGTCATTGTTTGTTCAATTGGTTTTGCATGTAACATGTAACTTGTAATACCATTGTTATTTAATTATATGTCATGATAATTAATTTAGTCTCGATTGTCTAAAACAACGTAAAATCACTAGTTGTATACATATCTAATTAATTTTTTTAGTGAAATAAAATTTGAGTTTTAATGATTTTAATTTTTTTTAATAATTATATAATGGAGGTAAACTAACTCTCATTATGTAGTCTAAAAAAACCTATAGGACTCTGATGAATAAAAAAAAGAACTAAATAAAATCAAATTTCAGGACATTAAATGGGAAAAATCTAAAAAGACTCCAAGAATTACAAATGTAGAACTCCAAACTCTTATACATAGAAAGAAAATAAAGGTTTTTGATATGCATGCATCATCGGATATAATTAATAAAAAAAAATGTGGTTAAAGCACACCTGTATTTGATAATTCAAAGAGAGATCGAACAAAATTTCATGGCATATACTAGTCTTTGGTTTTGTACGAGAACAAGGTATAAATTAAGGTTCCCTCTAGGTCATGGAAAGCACATATATATATAAATTAAGGTTCCCTCTAGGTCATGGAAAGCATATATATATTAGTCCTCCAACTTTTTCTCTTTGGACTGTTGCTATTTGAGTATTTCATTATTTTTCAAAACTTTCTAATAAAATATACATTATTGACCTACACTCCTTTTATGTAACATAAGCTACATTATATAAATGATTTCTAGAATAAATAAATTTTAATTATTTTTAGAAGCATTAACAAACTGTAAATTTAAGGTACTAAAACAGAGAAAATTAAAGTAGGAATATTACGAAAAAATGAATTACAAATAGGTACCGGTATTGAAACATGTAAAAAAGAAAAAGAAAAAAAAGAAAAAGTGGAACTGATCAAAAGTGTGATTCTAAAATGGATTGACATCTTTTGGCTTCTTCTTCCTTTTCCCATTGCGTACACACATCGAAGATAGTTATGAGTTAATTTTTTCCAAAATTCAATATGAACTTCTGCAAATAAAAATGATAAGCCTTAAGTCCCAATGACTATTAAGTGATAGCCCAATGAGCCTAGGACAATATAATATTGAGGGCTACCTCTTCCCATTCTTAAATTTCAACTCATTATTATTAATGAACAAAGTTTTTTTTTTAGTTCATGGTATCAATGTGTAATTCAACAAAGAGAAAGGAGGAAACAAAATAAGAATTCTTTATTCTTTGTCTTTTTCAACTCAAAAGCACTCCGCATTGTATAATTGATCATGAGTACCATCATACTTTCGCTCTTTAGAAGGGACAATCTAATGCTGATAATTTAAGATTTAAATATTATAGTTTCAAATCCTGAAATGCAGTGATTGTGATAAACTCCAAGAGATTTGAGAATAAAACATGTCTTTTCCTCCAGCGAAGAAAAGGACATAGCTTCTTTCTAGATTGAAGAGAATAATACATGAGTACTTCAATTCTTCAATAATTTGCGTATAAATTTCGAGAAACTGCCAAACAACAAAGGATTGCAAAAGAATAAATCTAGTGAATCCAAGCAATTCCTTCCTTTGTTTTTTCAGGATTAAGGACACTCTACACTTGGTGCTTAATCGATATCAATCAAATTAATAAGAGGATAGCCAACTGCTATGATTTAGGCATTTCTCACGGATTAGCATTTGTTTAATGCCCATTGACAAAATTTGCACTTAATACGTGCCCCAGATATTCTCCATGTTTCATAATCATTAACTAGCTAGGGTAGGACTTATATAATTCTGTTAAATATTTGATTAAGAACATGCAATGCCAAAGCATACATCTTTTGCTATTGAATCTGGACCAGTGGACTACGATAGCACACCAAATCATTGCAATAATTAACGGTTAAATTGCACAGCAAGTTTTGGTGCCAAGAACATGTACTTTTTTTTTTAACAATCTGGGTTTGGATATTTTTGAATTAGTTTTTAAAGGCTTAAATTATTTATTTATATTTAAAATAATGCATTCATGAGAAATTTAATTCTATTTTTTTTGTAGGATCATATCTATATATGGATATAATAATGATAACAATTCTTACAAACTCCCTTATAAACACAATTACCGTTAACCTTTTCCATGTTATTTTTGTAGTTGACTATTTCAATTGACATAAATTGGATCTGGAAGATTATTACGTACGCTAGATAAAAAGATATGGATGATGAGGAATGATTGGAAGTTCATGCTAACAAGAGAATTACTGTAGATTTGCAGATCCAAATTACATAATTAATCAAAACATGTCTATTTAGGTTGGAGTCAAATGCAGTGTAACTAGACTTCAGAGATGCTAACAGCCTAACTAATTGAAGTAGACAAGGAGTTTTAATTTGAAATTGAAATGTAATGATTTTTTATTATAATTAAAAGGGTTTTCTTCATATTTGGATCATGTATTCTTTGATTTTTTTTTATTGAGACCATTTGCTTTTTTTTGTTTCAATTAAAACCCTTTATATTTTGAGATTTGTTACTTTAAACTCTTTATTATAACACAAGTAATCAATGACCGATACGTGATCGGGATTTTTTATTTTATAATACCATGTATCAATATTGATTGATTGTGTTATAATAGAAATTCTAAAGCAATAAATCTAAAAAAATAGAAAGTCTTTATCACTCTGAAAAAAATTTAAGAGTACAAGATACAAATATAGGATAAGCCAACAATTGAAATTTAAACCGTTAATTATATAGTGTCTACATCTTGCTATAATAATTATTCATTTCCTGTTCTCTTAATTCAAAGTCCCTTAGAACCTCAACATGTGCTTCAATAATTACCAAGCCAGTTTTAAAATCGAACGGATGCAGTTAATATTCGTTGGGTTTGGGAAGATGGCATGCCCAAAAAAAAAAAAAAAACTAATCTTGTAAGAGTTCATACGAAAGAGACTCGTAAGTTATTTATAATTAATGAACAAAATATATATTTTGCATTTATTACTATTGATTGAGTACGTAATTGCTTTCCACACTCCAAACAATTAAGCAACTCTTCAAGAGAAAAAAAAGAAAAGAAAAGAATTATTGAATGGCAACTAGCCATATAATCTTTCCAAGGACACAAGAAATTTTATTCCATAATGACTAAATTTATCTAGTTAACCTTGCTGCAAACTTTCCTGATTTCACCAGATTTACCAGTAAGAACTTCAACCCTGCCCATTTTTATCATGGAAACACCAAAGTCTTTGAAGAAAGTGGATCCACCAGTGGCAGACTGAAGTTTAATATAAGCTTTTGTCTGGCTGTTGTCAAGGAGAGATGCATCAGATTGAAAAAGTCCCCTTCTTTTAGTTAGGAGTGTATAATAGCTGTTATCGAATGTCCTGACGCTTCCGGGATCCATTTCAACTAGCGTAGTTTGATCTCCTGCCTTACATTTTTTCTTCAAATGTGGTATGTATTCTGAATCCAATGTGGGATCAGTGTCACCCTTTCCAGTGAAGTTGTACAGCCGATTATTGAATGAAGAGCAATGAGAAGTGCCAATGGTGTGCCCACCTATGTGCCAGAACGGAAAAATTAGAATTACTCGGTCGGCTCGATTTCTTGTTACAAGAATCACTATGAAGAAACTGTGGAAATGTTTAAATACCTGAGAGCACCACAAGGTCCTTTACGTTTAGATTCTTAGCACGAAATTGTGCTATCAATTGAGAAATGTTCGCAAAAAATGGTGGCAGGTTTGTTAAGGGCTCTGAAACCCTGGACACATTTCCATCTCTTCTTCCAGTTTCAACTTCCCAGGTTGGTCCCATAGTCTGATAGGATAAAATTTTATTAACTACAAGCATTCTGTTCTTTGAAATTTAGAAAAGAAACTACATGTAATTACATTGAAAGAAATTTCTTACCGCAACAGTGACATCCCTGGCCACAATGGCAATGATGTCTGCACAGGAGACCACTCCGGGACACTCCTTCTCTAATGCAGCCTTGACTCTGTCGATAATTTGAAAGCCTCTAAGGCTTAAATTTGGAGGTGAATCTTTTTCAGCTTGACCAGTGCTAGAGTTCAAAAGAACTGACGCATCACAACCCTGCAGATAACATATATAATTAGCTAGGGATCATAGGCATTGTACTATTATTCAAAGCAAAAAAGCATAAAATTGTTTCAGAATTTTCAAATGAATTAATGGCTTACGTACTCTAACAAAGCAGTCATGAAAATGCATCCTCAACAAAGGGCCACTGAGGCTAGGAGCTACTTTCATCACTTGATCTATAACCTCCTTCACAACAGCCTCAGCTTTTGGACATGTATACTTGTAAAACCCTACCTTCAATTGCGCATTTGCCGAGTTAAAGACAAACACTAGCAAAACCAATTGGAGAAAGATTAAACCTGAGGAAAGCTTTGAACTAGCCATGTCTAAGTGACAAGGTTTATGTTGTGAACCTCAATTTCTTGATGAGAACACAACGAAACGTGCCTACTCTTTTATAGTAGCCTCGACACGCTTCTTGTTTCATGGAAAAGCTGTCATTACAAGACATTTTATCTTTTGTTCCCTTACGAAATTAAATTAGTTAGATAATTTACTTTTTGTGTTCTAATCATGTGGTGGTGCAAATTTATATTCTAATTTACTGTTAGACTTAATTATTATAACATCATGATGGCCCATTATTTGTAATCTTAAGAAGAAATCTGGAGGATGAACTGTGACAGAATAGTAGAATAGTAATGCTGCATGTGATTGCTAGCAAAATAAGGGCCTGAAAGAAAAGTTGACCTTAAGGCAGGCGTTAACATGTCCATGCCATGTATTAGCATGATTGAAAGTCTAATTTTCTTGCTCAAAATGAGCATATATTTTAATCCAAAAGATCCCAATTGGCCGTCGATACATTGGCAGGCGGCTTGCCTCAATGCCACTTGGACTAATCAAAATTCTAACAAAGTCAGATATATAGTGACAACGTGAGATATAAAGGTAATGGTAATGACTAATGAATAAAATTTTGCCTGGTTAATTTTGAAGTTAAGAGATCTTTGATCTCGTTATCTTTTGCTAGCTTAAGGCCAGAGGTAGCAAATCATGGTCAAAAATTATTGTTTTTATGGCTAGCTTGGCTGCAGGATTTGCATGACTGCTTCTACCAATCCAATTTTTCCTCCCTTATCATGTTTCATGGAAGAAGCATATATGCCAACAAGATTGTATGCTAAGAAAGTACTTCAGAAAATATACTCCTTGTAATCCTAGAAATCAACTTTTCAGATCATAATTGATCTTCTTGGCTTGCAATAATCCACATGATAACCTTAAGGATTACTTAGGCTTCTTAATTGTCTCTAGCTAACTACTTTCTAATTGGTTATTGAGGCCACGTCCATGCATGTATGCCAAGAAGACAATATTCATTTATTTTGAAAGCCACCAATAATTGCACATGGGACTCGTTAATTAATATCTTTGTTGAATGGGACAAAACTTTTAGTTCTTCTTAACCGAGATTTGAAGAAGTCTGTTTTACCAAATGCATGCATATGTTTATGCATCCCAGTTAATCCAACTTGAAGGCTACATTCTCTCTGTCTCACACACACGCCTCATGAAATTAAGTATGCATTGATATTTTATCTTATTTTTTAAAAGAACTCTAATATTTTAATTAATTCGGAAAAAAAATGTGGTTGACATCATTTAAAAGTGAAGAAAAAAGATTGGAGGAAGCATCCTTCGTTATAACACATTTCTTTCTAGTAGAATTAATTTACTTCGTTAGTTCTTGGGTTATCACGTTGTCTTGTCTGCGTGTGTGAGATTTACTTCGTTAGTTCTTGGGTTATCACGTTGTCTTGTCTGCGTGTGTGAGAAAAACAGCACTGCTGAAAAATGGCTGGCTGTATAATGAATGTCTTCCATAATAGGATTGAGTGTTCATATCATCTCGACTTATCTAAAAATTTAAGTTTTTAAATAAGATAAATTTTTGACATAATATTAAAGTTTTAATAAATAAACGATTATGAATTCAAATCTCAATACCTCCATCTTTTTTTAATTAATTAAATAAAAGATAATATAGGTTCGTGTAAATTTCAAATTCAAAAAACTTTCACTTAAAAATGTATAATTTTAAAATTTAAATCATGTATATTTATAAAAAATTTATGTAAGAACCAATTCACTTTCCATTAGACTAACAACTTATCGATACTACGAGTCTATAAGCACTAGCCATTACAAGTCCATTATGATTCTAAAAGACAAACCCCTAGCCCACAGCAATGTCCCATGTAAATTAAGATGCTTTGATATTAATTAAACGATAAAAACAGCCATTAGTCCTAATATGTTTAGAATATTTTAGATTATTCTCTTAATTGCTAAAACCATGTCGACCTCCTCCTTTGTCTTAGCTTTTGCCAGTATGCATATGGGTTAGCTTGCATCCAGAGAATCTTACTAAAGACTGAAAACTAACCACTATTATGAATATTTAGTCCTGCATGCACCAAACCTCCAATGTATAATTTAGTTTCTCTAATTTTAAGAAACGAATTAATTTTTTTTCAAAAAGTTGATTATACTTATTTTAATATTAATTTATTCTAAAAAATATATATATTTTTCCTCAATCAATCTTCCATGATATCTATTTCTTTTCAAAAATAATAAAAATAAATTGGAAAAGAACATAAAATGGACCAAAAAATTAGTTTCTAAAATAAAAATAATTACTTAATTTGTTTCTCAAAACTAGAGGGACTAATTTATAATCTATTCCTTAATTTCGTCCCTCTTTCTTTTATGGTGCTAAAATCATCCTTCTAGCTTGTAATCATTTGGCCCTTTTGTTAGTGGGAATATTAAATCCCAGCATGGAGTGCCATAGATGATGCCACGTGACATCAAGTTTCAAAGGACATGCAGTACTTTAGCTGTTGGATCTAACGCCGTTACAAATAAAAAGATTAATACTTGCAAAATAAGGAGTTGGAGGATGACGGTAGGATTAATTAAAAAGGTGGAGTCAATAGAGAGATTAGACCAAGAAAGAATGGAGAATATTGGGACCAACTACACCGACTATAGGCCCATAGGCCCACACATCACCACCTCTTATAGAAACCAACTGTTTTCTTGGTCCACAATCTAAAAAGTGAAAAGAAATTAGGTCCCAGTGAGGCCCAACAGAGTCTTATGAGCAAGTCCATTACCAATCCAATTGAAAGCAAGGAAGTCCAGTTTGTTTTTTTTTTTCTTTTCTTTTCTTTCTTTCTTTCTTTTTTTTTAAAAAAAAAATTATTTTAAGAGAAGTCTAGTCATATGATAATGACAAGTAGAATTAAGGCAAAAATTTTAGAACTAAGCCTACAATGTTAGAATCCTACAATGTTAGAATTTTTTTTTTTTCAACTACATGGTACCTAATACTGATTTTTTTTTTCCTACAAAGATCTTAAAGGTATGCTCTTCCCAAAGTAAATTATAAATTAGTCCCTTCTGTTTAAAAAAAAATGAATTAATTAGTTCCTTTAATTTTAAAAAATAATTATTTAGTCTTTTTATTATTTTTTAATTTATTTAGATTTTTTTCTGTTAAGAAATAAAAAAGAAAAGAATAAGTAAAAATATGAATAGATTAATAAAAAAAGAATATATTTTATAAAATAAAAAATATTAAATTATCCATTACTAAATGAAAAACTAAATAATTAGTTTTTAAAACTAGAAAGACTAATTAATTAGTTTCTCAAAACGAGATAGACTAATTTATAATTTACTCCCTCTACACATGAACCTGATTTTTTTCAAAATAATAATAATAATAATAATTTTTGTAGATACTAACTCTTAGATCCGAACTTGATTTTTTTTTAAAAAAATATATATATATATATATCCTTAATCATTGGTAAAGATAGCAAAAATATGTTTGGATAGATACTTCATAAAATCTGACTAGATGAGAGCGGATTATTAATAGAGCTTCTGATAAACAAATGGAGATGGAGGCGGAGAACATGTCTCCCACCTTGAAAAAATCCATATATATATATAGTTGGGATTATATTTTGATTATCTATATTTAACTGAGACATATAGCAAAATTCAATATTTGTATGGATTTAATATATATATATATATATAGTTGGGATTATATTTTGATTATCTATATTTAATCGAGACATATAGCAAAATTCAATATTTGTATGGATTTAATATATATATATATATATAGTTGGGATTATATTTTGATTATCTATATTTAATCGAGACATATAGCAAAATTCAATATTTGTATGGATTTAATATTTGTTTTTCATTAATATTAACTCGTTAAATATTTAGATTTCGATACTGAGCTATAGAATTATTATAGAGCTAGATAGTTGAAATTGAGTTCCATCCAAAAGACTTAAACGTTATGGTGGGTAACCCCATCTCAACTTTATATATTATTTATTATTGGTTTAACTATTCGAGTGTGGGATATGTGTTCTAACACTCTCCTTCACTTGCAGCCCATCTTTTTAGGGTCCGTCAAGTGGTTTGGGTTTTAGGATCTTTGCTAGGTCATTGGGTCATTTGAAACTCGATACCGCATAAAGTTATATAGTTGAGATTAGATTCTATCCAAGAGACTTAAAAATTTATAGTGGGTGAACTCTTTTTAATTTTTATATTATTCATTATTGGTTTAACTATTCAAGTATAGGATATGTGTTCTAACACTCTCTAGCTTTTGGGTGAGATGAACATTTGATATGGTATCAAAGCTTTAATGATCAAACGATTATGAGTTTGAATCCTACCACCCTCATTTTCTCTTTTAATTAATTAAGTATAAGGTAGTGTGGGTCGAGTACAAATTCATATTCGGAGATCTTACCTAACATCTTAATTTTTTTAATGAGATGGTCATTTGACAATTACAACTTTAATGGAGTGAAGCATGCAACGAGCATCAAATATAAAATCACATAGAGTGGCTATAAATACATGTTCCAATTTGCAACTCGAACGAGCTTTTGCTCCCTTTGGAAAGTGCTCTTCTTTTTTTTTTTTTTTTTCCTTTGTCAGTTAACAACATGTTGGAGAGAACAGGATCGATGGTCTTGAAGCATAACTATTAATCATTACGAATACATACATTAGTCAACAGATCAATATGTATATCAATTGGAACATAGACAGTTATTAGGATATTGATACCATGTCAATTTAGGGAGGCATTCTTTTTATAGCTTTCTCTTGTTTTCTTTTTTGCTTATTGAGAGGCAAGAAACCAGGAGATTCAGCTGGGCACAGCATACGAAGGGGAAAAATAAAAAAATAAAAACTTTGCCAAGCTTTCGAAACCGCCAAAATTGCAGGTAAGAACCCTCCAAATATTCTGTTTCTTGCAAACCCAA